TTAAAGAAAATTAAAAAATTATAAAGTGACAGCTAAATTTAATGTTATTTAATTTTATATATTGATTGTTTCAATGTGTGAATTTATTTTTTGTTAATTCATACTAATCACTTTGGATTTATTATTTGATATATATTTGTTTCTTTTTTTTTAACTTTTTATTTGTTTTTTGGGACTGAGGGGGCTCTGCCGCCACAACCCCCCGCCGAGGCTTCGCCTCTGGACCCAGATTTTGAGCCCACATATATCGCCGCATTTATAATAAAATAATTTTCCTTAATTAATTTTTATACTTAAATTTGAATAAAACTGAAGACGAATTTAGGACACTGGTGCTACAAAATAGTGTAAGATACTCGTGGCTTAAATGAGCGATCATTCACGGCGTGGTAGCGCACTCGCTTTGCTCGTGCGCTAACTTCACGCCGTGTCATAATCGCTCATTTAAGCAACTCGTATCTTAATGTACTATTAAACGACATATTTTACTAAGTAGTAGCTATGGCATCAGCTACAACCAAATCGAAATTTTGATTTTTACTGTTTTTTAAGACCAAAAACTGTGAAAAAAGTCGTAGCTGATACAATAGTTACTTATATATTTAAGGTAAATAATTTTGGTTTTTTGTGTTATTCAAAAGTGTATTTTTGGAGCTAAATAAATTTTATATGAATATTTATCATAGTTTCGGTGTAAAAAAATCATGAATATTGGGCTTTTTTTCGAGCAATGGATCCAGAATGACCTCTTAATCTTTTATCTTAGGTTTGGTATGCATTCTTCCACTACTTCACCTTATATAATGAATTTACAGATAAATTGAAAGTTTAAATTAACGAGGTTTCATTTTTAGGTAACAGTAATTACTTCAGCGCTTTGCGCCTAGCATGCAAAAATTGTGACAATTAAGCGCTCTCTAATGCTCTACAGTATTGAATAAATCCGAGGGCTCATTGGAAATTTCATGATTATAATCATTCATAGTCATTTATAAGTACCCACATAGGTACCTATTACAATGAAATTTTATTTTTGATAAGGCAGATTAAGTCAAGTGTGTTATCTGATGAAGGCAATCAGATATTTGTGTAGAAATTATATTCGGATTTACCAAAAATGGGTGAAGTTTATCCGAAAATTCAAGTAGAAACTTGCAACAAAAAAAAAATAGTATCAACCGATTTCCTCTTAAAGTAATGTCAGTGATAACAAGCTTATTAAAATTTATTAACAAAAATTTTCGGGTCACTTGCAAGGTGAACAATTTATTCCAATTTTTTTAATAATTAATAATTCTATTTTTCGATTTTATACTTTTTCAAACCATGGATAGAGCATTTTATCTAATCATATCCTGCAAGATAAAATTTAACTTGATTAGATCTAATTTCACTTCTTCGAATGTAGCACTCTTGCTACGGAATTAAGAATTTATTTTACTATTACGATATAAAGCTAATTCAATTTCGATACTCATAATCATAAATTTTACTCAATTATACTTAACAATTATTGTTATTAAATGAAGCTTAACGAGATTGGTTCTATTTAACGAAATTGGGTTTTTATTCCCTCTAAATTCATAAATTATATATCTATGATCGAGATTTTCATGGCTAACTTTTTAATATAAAAAAGTAATTAAAGAAAATTTTGACTGTGAACAATAACGGCATAAATCTCCATCATGCGAGATTGATAAGATGATCGATCAATTTTTTAAAAATTTAATCTCCATGACTGTGATATTTTCATCATTTATCTAATCAATCTAACTATAACAAAAAATTCTTTTTAAGTAGGATAAAAACTTAAATCTATAATAAAATTAATTTGATTACAAAAAAGCGCGTGATAATATCTAATTATGTAAATGCGAATCGTTAATTTAATTAACTTGGCAGGCAAATTCAACTATTCGCTATGTAATATCTTTGACCTCTTTAAGCTTAAAAATATAACTTCGAAAACATGCTTTCGAAACTTTTGAATTTTGTTTTTCCTGTTTGAACTATACGATAACTTTCCGTAAAACTTTTTTATTTTCACAAGCCCGAAACAAAATAAACCGATTGAAACAATTTTAGTCGTAACCAAACGTGTTTATCTAAATCGAAGTTCGAATAAATTGTTGAATGCTTAGTGTAAAAAGTTGGTAATTTATTGAGATGAAATGTATTGGTCGCTCGCTTGGGTCGTTTTTATTCAACGTGTCTGAAAAATAAATTTATTTTTAAAAATTCGATATCACACGAAAAAATTTTCTGATACATAAAAATGATTTTTTTTTCATTTCCGTAAAAATTTTAGTCATCGCGGCACTTTTCGCAATTCCTAAACTAATTACAATTCTTTCTACAATTATACATAACTACAACGTCGTAAAATATAGAAAAGGACCAGTAACTTTTATCCCCCGTACCTTTCCTTCACCCACATCCCATCATCCTTAATTAATTAAGTTAATTAATGGCAAATGATGAGATCTACCATGTGTAGCCATCATCAACTAATCTAAGTGAGTTATTCCATTAAGTTTTTTCATGTAATTTTTAAACTCATACAAATCCCAACATGTGTATTTTTTTGGTGAAAATAAAAACTGTTTTTTCAAAAAAAAAAACTAATAGCTTTTACTATAATGTATTGGTGAAAAATAACGAATATGGAAAATTAATTAAAGGTGAATGGTTACTTTTAATCGTTAAATATTAAAAAAAAAATTTTTAAATCCAAAACGCGTCATGACGCTCATTTAATTTTTAACCCTAGACTGCGGTCAACAAACGCGACTTAACGACTTTGGTCAAGTGATGAGGAACCTGCCGCAATGCTTTTAGAGCGTACAGTGTTGCCAGTTCATACACGTTTGACAGGCAGAGACTAGAGGTGTTTTCGACAACACCGCGGACAAAAAACTACTTACGACTCTGGTCAAGCGATGAGGAAAGCCCCGCAAATTTTTTTAAGAAATTTTTTTTCAGCAATTTAACGTTTTCGAAGATTTTTGAAAAAATTATTAATATATTCTAAAATGTTCAAGGAACAAAGTCAAATTTTTTTGAATAATTTTAGTAAATATTGAAGATGTAATAAAAAAAATATAATTGAGCGCGGCGTCACGCTCATAGGGTGACCAGTCTAGGGTTAAGAAAGTAATGTCTAATTACTGACTTATTCGTAGTTATTTATTTATTTATTTCATATACAATCCACCCAACAGCCCCAAGGCCAATAACAGGGTCGCTACAATGTAATCATATACCAATGGCACGCGATGTATACATATTTACATTTTTATAAAAATAAAGAAAAACAATTTTACAAATATAATAAAACAATACTATGCCACAATGTATATCTTATAAAACATAATTTCTGGAAAAGATAATGAATAGATTTATCTGAAAGATTCATCTCATAGATATTAAGATGGAAACAAGAGTGCTGTAATTAATTGGTTGTGGGTTACCCAGTATGTTCAGAGAGCTATGATGTTCAACAATATCATTGCATATATTTAAAATTCTATAGAAAGGTGCTGATTTTATGAAGTTAATGGACAACTCAACAAATTATGCTTTAATCATAGATTCGAATATTTCGGGCCTTTTTCTTTCCAGATGAGAAAAATAGGGCGCAAGCGCATCACTGAACAAATAACCAAGCACCCATGTGTTGATTAAGAGGGTATCAGGCGTTTTGATCCCCCGACAAAATATCCCCGGACAAAATATGGTTTTTCTGAAATAATAATTATAAATTATTATAAATTTATTATAATTATTAAATTATAAATTATAAATTTATAATCATTTATAATTATTATTTCAGAAAAACCATATTTTGTCCGGGGATATTTTGTCGGGGATCAAAAATCGTGGAACCCCTTCAGAATTACGCACAGAGTCTCCTATTACAAATGGCTATGTAATTAAGTTCCATGGAATTATAATTAATGAAAAAAAAAAAATTAAGTAGTCATTAGTAGGGCTCAGAATTTCGCCACCATTCAAATGACTGTTTAGGTCAACTTCCGTGCACTAGTCATTAGTGTACCTGTGTGTATGTAAACAAAGACTCTTAATCGGTTCCACGATTTTTTATCTTAAGAGTCTTTGTTTACATACACACAGGTACACTAATGACTAGGGCACGGAAGTTGACATAAACAGTCATTTGAATGGTGGCGAAATTCTGAGCCCTACTAATGACTACTTAATTTTTTTTTTTTTTCATTAATTATAATTCCATGGAACTTAATTACATAGCCATTTGTAATAGGAGACTCTGTGCGTAATTCTGAAGGTAATAAAAAAAATTATATCGATTGTTAAGTTTTGCAATAGTCGTGCCAGATCTACACATGCAAACATCTAGAAAGGCTAGGAAATTTTTTTTCAGTCAGTTATTTCTTACACTAAATAAAGTAAATGTCTTATAAAAATTTCAAATGCATCCACATTCATATTCTTCTGTAAGTGCAATATGATAAAATAGAGACATTTTTAATTCAGAAAGTTGCTTGATTTTGATAATAAGGCAAGGATAGAGCACTAACTCAACCGCTTCGCGTTATGAGGTGTGCAATACGAAATGTGATTGTGAACTATTAAAGTAGTCGAAAAAGTATTTGTTGAATCATGCGTAGTTTCTGTAATAATCATTGGAGACTTTTGAATAATTAAAAAATAACCATAAAATGTGTTTCTTCATCAATTATTAATGATACAACACGTTAAAAAGTAATTGCCTCTAAATAATCACCTTTAATCTAGATCACATAAATTCATAAATCGACGGCGTCATAACATCTGATAACGCTCGAAATCATCCTCTTGAAATCTCGGAATTTCCACCGGCCAAATACATCCAAAGAAGTGGTACACACAGTAGTTAATTGTGATAAAGAGATAAATTGATAACACATTAGATCGGTCATCTCACGGATATATAAGTTGGTATATCGATCTGCAGATTATCAGTTATCGTTGTGTTGGAAGACAAGATGTTCAAGCTTTTGATTTCGCTTATTTTTTTCACTGTCGTCGCTGGTAAGTTTGAAATCAGTATTTATTTATCACATTAATTTCAAATTTTCTCATGAGGTATTTCGATCGATGAAAATATTCAAGTGTATTTTCATTAATTTTCAGCAGTTGATGGAAAGTGCGTGATCTTATATCCCTTTTCACTCAAAAATTCGAGTGCTTTGTCAACTTTGGTCTCTTGTGCATAGTTAAGTTGTCCTTTTTGTTAGGACGGATATTAAATTTAAGTTTATTGTGTATTGTGATAAATTATCGTGAATTCTCCATTTTTTATCAGTTAAACATTTAATTTTTTTTATATTTGAATCACAACTTATTGTAGTTTGAAATACAACAAAAAAAACCATTTTATTTGAAACAAGAAAAATAGTTTTCAAAAATTTAACTAGAGATAAAAAAATAAATTTTTTCATGTCTTTGTAATAGAAAAACAAAATTTTCTGTTCAGCAAATTGATACACGGAAGAAAGATTTACTGTTATATATTCATGAGAAAAATTACCGGACCGCATCGTTAAGTTTAAAATTTATGATACTTTTTATAGTTTTTGACATTGTATTTGTGAAAAATTATTGAAAAAATTGTAATAAGATCAGGAAAAAGTTTGGAAAATCCAAAAGTGCACGCCTCATAACGCTCATTCATTTTTTAAGAAAAAAATTAATTGTGTAATTGATTTAAAAAAAAAATTATAATTAAGTAACTTCTTACAGAGTATTTTTTATTTTTTTTTTTAAATGTCAGCGCCGTTTTTTCTTGTCATATGCGCACGCAATCTAAATAATCTAGCTTGATCAAGTGGCGCCATAGTTTTCACGTGACAAATAAGAAAAGTTCGTTTGGCTTTGTACGGTTGTATCGCAGTGAATTTTAATAAAAATTCAATTAAAAAAAAAAAAAAAAAACTAGGCCACTGATATGAAATACGGACCCAGTTCATCGAATTCTTAAACTAATAAAAAAGATCCGGTCTTGAAATATCTATTTGTTCGGGAGTAATCGTTGATACATCCAAAATGGGGTGACATCCGGACGTCCACGTAAAATTTTTTTCAAAACGTTTTTTTTTCAAAATAGCAACACGAAATGATTTTAGAAAGTAAAAGATGGTTTAATTTAAGTGTTTTTTCGGTGTACATCAACGTATATTATTGTATAAGTGTAATATGATCGTGATAGAGGCATTTAAAGATCACAAAATTGCTTGACCTTGACGAGTCGAGTATAAAGCACAACCTCACGCGCTTCGCGCTATGAGGCGTGCAATTGCGGAACGTCCTATAATTACTGTGATTTTTACGGTAATTTTTAAAACAGTAATTGTTTACGGTCATTTAAAGATAGTTTCTTTTTGTATAAAAATGTAAAAAAAAGGCAAAGCCGTGTTTATTGAGTGAATGGTAAAGGGTTAACTAATGTGGAACAAATTAAAAATTTTTAAGTAAGCTTTCGATGCTTAATTACTTTGCAAGTCTTCTTAATTAAAAATTTTCTGAATTAAATGTCAGTAATTCTAATTACTGCATTCGAAATTTCAAATTTTTTATTCAAAAAATAACTTTTTTGTTATACTCGCTCCAAAAGTTCAACTTTTGAGCGCTGGGTAGCTTCCGTAAAGGGACTCTTCTAAAGACTCTACCATACCGTCTTCTTTTTTATAGCCTAGGCCTCCTTTTTTTACAAACTTTTCGTGTACACCCAGCCGGAATTGAGAGAGATTGTAATAAATTAAAGTCCCATTCTAGTGTAGCAAGCGATGATTTTGAGTGAATTTTAAGCTTAGTTACTATTGAATGGCGCTAATTATTTTTCTGCTGATAGTTTATTATGAAGCGGACCTAATGTTAATAAAATAACAACTACGCTATAAATAAATATTAATGAAAAGATAATTAATAGAAAGTTAAGTTTTTTTACACTTGTAAAACTTTATAAAATTTGAATCTGTCATTATTTGCCTCCTATCTCTCAAAAGTTAAACTTATGGAGCGATCATGACAAAAAATAGTGTACCTACGTCATTTGGCCGTTTAGTGACAATTTTGACAACGACTTTTTTTCGATGTTCGCTTTAATGTTTGTAACGCGAATGTTCGAAAACGAATGTAAATTTCCGTCCTCGGCTTCGCCTTGGATATTAAAATTAAGCCCGTTTCGAATCTTTCCGCCACAAACCTTAAGCTTATTTCGAAATATCGTCGCTGTCAGAAAACCGCCATTTCACGGCCTTATGACATAAATATCTATTTTAATAAAAAAATTTATATATAATTACAGCTGATCCGTTGAGAGGGTTTCCTTTCTTCCGACGGTTCCCAGGGCGAATCGTAGGAGGTGACAACACAACGATCGAAGATGTTCCCTACCAAATAAGCCTTCAAGTATACGGCGGGCACAACTGTGGCGGCAGCATTATCTCAAAAGAATGGATTGTTACAGCAGGCCATTGTGTTTCTTCAGCCGTAAGCAGTCACTCAGTCCGCGCCGGCACAACTTTTCACAATACTGGTGGATCTCATCACACAGTCGCGGAAATAATCCGTCACGAAGGCTACGGGTCAGATAAATCAGGGTTCCCAATTAATGACATAGCTTTAATCCGGGTTCAGGAAGTTTTTCAATTCGATGAAACGAGACAACCGATCCCACTTTTCAACCCCGATGAGGAAGCGATACCCGGATCTATTTCCGTTATAACTGGTTGGGGAAATACCTTGTCGGAGTTTCCAGACAATTTACAAACTGTTGACGTGCCAATTATCTCAAAAGCACAGTGCAACGAAAATTATGCCAGCTACGGAGGGATTCCTGAGAATGAAATTTGTGCGGCTTATCCAGGGGGTGGTAAGGACGCCTGTCAAGGAGATTCTGGTGGACCTCTCGCTATCGAAGGACGCCTTGCCGGGCTTACGTCCTGGGGGATCGGGTGTGCTCGTCCAGAGTATCCCGGAGTTTATACAGAGGTTGCGGCTTTCCGATCTTGGATTAAGCAAAAGACTGGAATTTAATTATTTGTTCTAATAATAATATATAATAATTAATTTATTTCATTAACGTGAAAAGTGTAAGATATTTGACCGTCGTTAATTATTAATAAATAAATTTCTTATAAGTACCTCAAGTATTTCGATATTGTAAATTAGATAAAATTATTTTTTTTAGATGTATTTTAGAAAATCGATTTATAAAAATCATGAAATCTCTTTGATATTGTTTGAATATATCAAAAATAATTAAAAAATTTTTTTGCAATTTTCGATAATTATCTGTAAATTTATTCGGTTAATTTAAGTTTTGTAATGGAGTAAATATAATGTAAAATAAAAAACAATCAGAAAAAATTTATTAATTTTATTAATATCCATCATGATTGTTACACTGAGAGAAAAATATGGTTCTCTGAACTAGGAAAATCGAGATGAATAACATCACCACTATTTAATTAAAATTCTTATACCTAAAATTATTTATTACATTGAACCCTATTACATAGTAACTTGAACTATTTTTAGTTCAATACGGGCTTAACAGTCATCTTGATACACATTAATTCAGAAAACAGAAAAATAATTCGCATAGCCCGGATCGGGGATCAAATCTAGATCTTTTAATTACGCACCAGGGGCTCTACCAGTTAATATCAGCTTTTAACGTAAAGAAAATTAGAAAAACGGTTCACCCTAAAGGCCATCCGTGCAACTTCTCGCTAATTCCATTCCTGGGCGCTCAAAATTGTACTTATGACATTTTTGAGATTTTTGAGCTCAAAATATAATTTATGTGATATTTTGAGCTCGCTGAGTTCAAAGAAATAATATTTCTATGCATTTGAGCTCTCCCAGCTCAAAAGTCTGATAGAAGTTTCATAGAACACTATTTTTGGAATTTTCAAACCGCAATAACTTTTGAATGGATCAACCAATTTTCACGCAGTTGGCTCCATTCGACACACTTTTATCATCCTCATAAGTTATTTTCAGGTTTTAATTGATCGAACTGAAAATTCTGGAGTAATCCCGAAAAAACACTTTTTTCGGTTTTATTTCGTTCACGATATCTCTCGAACGAATCAACCGACTTTGACCAGCTTGGTGGCAATCGACGTGGTTTTTTGATGTTAAGAGCTGATTAGTTTTGGAATCGATCGGTAGTTTTAAAAGTTTTAAAAATGTGTCATAATCTTTTTTGAGAAATAAAAGAAGTAAAAATTACGAAAACTTAGTTGAAGAGTTGTTAGATAATTACGATACTATGGGTTGCTTAATAAATCTTAAATTGCATTTCTTACTCTCTAAACATGAATTAGTGAAAATTCACTAATTCATGTTTAGAGAGTACATTCTTACCTTCAACACTTTCCTAAAAATCTTGGTGACTACAGTGGAGAGCACGGCGAAAGATTCCACCAAGACATAAGTGAAATGGAGAGTCGATATCAAAGAAAGTGGAATGTCAATATGATGGCAGATCATTGCTGGACGCTGAAGAGAGATGTACCCGATGAAAACAGAAAGCGAAAAAGAAACCTTTGCGTAGGTCATTCGAGACAGAAGGGTTCGACACAAGCGAAGAACAGCTTAAAATCAGAAAGGTTGTTCCTTATCTTCGTATGGTTTTTAAAAAGATTTTTAATAGAAATAAATTTAATTAAGATCAATCAACTTTTTTCATTTCTATATGTGCAATTTTCCACTTTAATTAACTTAATTTTTTTGAGGGCTAACGGGCCAAATAAACTTTAAATTTGTATTTATTTACAACTTGTTAAAATTTAAAATTAATAAAGAATTACAAGACTGGAAAGCCATCAAAATCTGAAAAACAAATTTAAATTTATACTCCGCAAATCAAATAACGTAATATATATTTTGTTTTTGTTTAAAAAATGATTTCCATCACAACATCAATTTTTTGAAATTTTCAGAGATTTTTGGCTATTTACTTAGATTTTTGAAGATATTTAAGCCATATAGGCTCAAGATTTAGATTTAACGGATCGAACTACATAAAAATTATAATTCATCTATTAATCTAGCTCTATAAAATTTATTTTATCACAATAATTGCAATTTTTGGCTAGTTCCGCAATTTTCAAGGATTTTTTTACAATTTACTTAAATTTTAAGAGGCTTATGGTTGAGTAAACTCCAAGAGCTCAAAAACGTTACAAGTGGAATTTTAAGCATCTAGGTATGGAATTAGCGGGAAGTTGCAGGGATGGCCTTCAGGGTCAACCGTTTTCCTAATTTTTTTTTTATCAATTAATTATAATCAAATGGCACTTAATTACATAGCCATTTGTAACAGGAGACTGTTTGCTGTAATTCTGAAGGTAATACAAAAAATTATATCGATTGTTAAGTTTTGCAATAGTCGTGCCAGATCCATACATGCAAACATCTGGACAGGCTAGAAAATTTTTTTTCAATCAGGTATTTCTTACACTAAATAAAGTAAATGTCTTTTAAAAATATCAAATGCATCCACATTTATATTCTTCTATAAGTGCAATATGATAAAATACACGGAAAAAAATTTCTAGGGAAATTTACAATATAACTTTTGTAAGGCTGGACTATACTTTCATTATTAATAATTGTCAAATATTTTAGAAGAAAATTTAGTATTTATTTATTGACGAAATTTTACAACGTACTATCGTAATTTCACCAAATATTAATTGTATTAAATTCGATTATAAAAAATACGATATTACTATTGTAAAAAGTAAGAGAATAAAAATTACCAGTGCTGCCTCTGTATTTTACCAATAGAAGTAACAAATTTTATAATAGTTGAATTGGAATGTTTTTTAATTAGTGTGTGTTGGCCGTGCACAGCACTAGACTTCAAGTTTATGTAAATGCAGAAGGACCTTAATCGTAGTTTACCTCGGGTAGCGTAGAGGGAGAGTCTCTGGCTACCAACTAAGAGTTCTGGGTTCGATTCCCGGACGAAAATTCCGAATTGTATTATCGGTTAGTGCAAAGTTACTAATGAGTTCAACCTCCTATCTTCTCCCTCCCTAAAATTTTTTTTAAAAAAACCGACTATCAAATTTTATAATAGTTGAATTGTAAAGCTCACTAACACATCTTGTATTATTTGTTCTATAGTATTGGACTTTTAGTCTCTTGCTAGAATTATTTGTTAAATAAAATTTACAATAGTAGATCATAAAACTTATTAAATGAGAAGTATACTCTACCATTACTATTTTATTTGATAAAAATTAAGATCGTAAAATACTAAAATTACTTTCAATTTTATTTCCGTGTAGAGACACTTTTAATTCAGAAAGTTGCTTGACTTTGGTAAGGCAACGATAAAGCACTTTGCGTTATGAGGTGTACAATACGAAATGTGATTGTGAATTATTAAAGTAGTCGACACTGTATTTGTTGAATCATGCGTAGCTTATGTAATAATCAGTGGAGACTTTGGAATAATTAAAAAAAAAACTCTAAAATATGTTTCATTATCAATTATTAATGATACAACACGTTAAAAAATAATTGCCTCGAAATAATCACCTTTAATATAGATCACATAAATTCACAAATCGACGGTGTCATAACATCTGATAACGCTCGAAATCATCCTCTTGAAATCTCGGAATTTCCACCGACCAAATACATCCAAGGAAGTAGTACACACAGTACTTAATTGTGATAAATAGATAAATTGATAACACATTAGATAGGTCATCTCATGAATATATAAGTTGGTACATCGATCTACCGATTGTCAGTTATCGTTGTGTTGGAAGACAAGATGTTCAAGCTTTTGATTTCGCTTATTTTTTTCACTGTCGTCGCTGGTAAGTTTGAAATCAGTATTTATTTATCACATTAATTTCAAATTTTCTCATAAGGTATTTCGATCGGTGAAAATATTCAAGTGTATTTTTATTCATTTTCAACAGATAATGGAAAGTGCGTAATCTTTTATCCCTTTTCACTCAAAAATTCGAGTGCTTTGTCAACTTTGGTCTCTTGTGCATAATTAGTTTGACCTTTTTGTTAGGACATATTAAATTTAAGTTTATTGTGTAATGTGATAAATTATCGTGAATTTTCCATTTTTTTTTTTTCAGTCAAAAATTTAATTTTTTTTAGATTTAAATCACAATTTTTTGTAATTTTAATTACAATAAAAAAAATTTTCTATTCGAAACAAGAAAAAGAACTTTAACTAATGTGGAACAAATTTAAAATTTTTAAAAAAGCTTTCGATGCTTAAGGTAGTTGTCATAGTACAATATTGTCGAAAAATTAAAGATTATACGCACTGCAAAAGTACATTAGCTTGTAGCTAAGTAATCCATAATTTTTAGGCAAAACTGTACCTGTGGAAGTGCAACCCATACAATTGTTTCTAACCGACTCTGTAGATATATACTTTTTCATAAATTATTGAATTTTAATCCGTTATTTATAAATAATTAGACGATCAAAAATTAAAAAAAAAATTTTTTTAAACTCATAACAAATACATTAAAAGACTGTTAGTTTTTTTAAACGTTCTGACAGTTTTGACGTGATAACGTCTTATAAATTGATGAACACCGATAGCGCTCACGAAAAAATGTCGCGTTCCGACAGACCGTTCCGCTTTTGTGTTCCTCCTGAGCGTTCCGCCTGAGCCTGTGAGTGCAAGCGAGAGCGCGCAACAAGCGATAGAGAGGCACGATCAAACAAACGACAGAGAGGCCCAAGCATTGGCTTATGACATATATCTCTCTTTTCGCGTAACGTCAGAGCTATCAGTCAGAATATTGTTCTATAACTGATTGTTCGTGATTATATTTAAACAAATTATATCAATTATATCAGATTATTATTGTTGATAATATTAATGATTGTTAATAAAGAATATCAATTATAAATAAATTAATTAATAATAATTGTAAACGATAAATTAATAAAATAATTAATATTAATTATAAATAATAATAATCATATCAATTATCAAATTATTGTATCAATTTTTGATTAACAATTTATCAATAAGTCCTTTTTTTTGTTAAAATAATTTTTAAATATTCAAAATTTTTTAATTTTTAAATACAAAATAATGATAATTCAGTGATAATAATTCGATTCAATCCATAAAAGTATGCAATTTTTCATCAATGTTTCTTTATGACGTTATCACGTAAAACTATCGTCCGTAAACCGACTTTACAGACAACCAATTTTTTTTTCTATAACTAAGAAACTGATACAGAACTGCAGAGAGCGTATGCAATCAATGTTAATAAATATCCAGTTTTTAATTGAATTCACCTCGGATTATAGGTGGTCAATTGACTTCAAATTGTTAGAGTAATTATATCATCATGTCATTAATAAGTATACAAAAATATAGAATTTTCCAACAGTATGCCTTAACCACGATAACTACCTTAATAGTTACTTTGAAAGTCTTCTTAATTCAAAATTTTCTGAATTAAATGTCAGTAATTCTAATTACTATATTCAAAATTTCAATATTCTTGTTAAAAAAAATAACTTTTACAATAAAAAAATTTATGTATAATTACAGCTGATCCGTTGAGAGGGTTTCCATTCTTCCGACGGTTCTCAGGGCGAATCGTAGGAGGTGACAACACAACGATCGAAAATGTTTCCTACCAAATAAGTCTCCAAGTGTACGGCGGGCACAACTGTGGCGGCAGCATTATCTCAAAAGAATGGATTGTTACAGCAGGCCATTGTGTTTCTTCAGACGTAAGCATTCACTCAGTCCGCGCCGGCACAACTTTTCACAATATGGGTGGATCTCATCACACAGTCGCGGAAATAGTCCGTCACGAAGGCTACGGGTTAGACAGATCAGGGTTCCTGATGAATGACATAGCTTTGATCCGGGTTAATGAAGTTTTTCAATTCGATGAAACGAGACAACCGATCCCACTTTTCAACCCCGATGAGGAAGCGATACCCGGATCTATTTCCGTTATAACTGGTTGGGGAGATACCTTGTCGGAGTTTCCAGACAATTTACAAACTGTTGACGTGACAATTATCTCAAAAGCACAGTGCAACGAAAATTATGCCAGCTACGGAGGGATTCCTGAGAATGAAATTTGTGCGGCTTATCCGGGGGGTGGTAAGGACGCCTGTCAAGGAGATTCTGGTGGACCTCTCGCTATCGAAGGACGCCTTGCCGGGCTTACGTCCTGGGGGATCGGGTGTGCTCGTCCAGAGTATCCCGGAGTTTATACAGAGGTTGCGGCTTTCCGATCTTGGATTAAGCAAAAGACTGGAATTTAATTATTTGTTCTAATAATAATATATAATAATTAATTTGCTTCATTAACGTGAAAAGTGTAAGATATTCGACCGTCGTTAATTATTAATAAATAAATTCCTTATAAGAACCTCAAGTATTTCGATGTTATAAATTAGATAAAATTATTTTTGTCAATGTAATTTAGAAATTCAATCTATATAAATTATGAAATCTCTTTGATATTGTTTGAATATATCGAAAATAATTTAAAAATTTTTTTGCAGTTTTCGATAATTATCTGTAAAATTATTCAGTTAAGTTCTGTAATGGAGTAAATATAATGTAAAATAAAAAAAAAAATTTATCAATTTTATTACTGTTCATTAGGGTGTGCCAAAATTCAATTTCCATGAAGAACCTTTTAAAATTAGAATTTTGAATTCTGCGTTTAAGAGGAGCTGTGTTTGGGCATTTCCTGGGATATTTTGGGTTGAGACGATTTATTTGATTTCCATAGAATTTTTAATTAGGAGCTTTGTTTAGGCACTTCTGGCCAAATGCGTAAATTTCAGCGGATATTTTTTTAGTAATTTATAACTCGTTTTATGATGAGTTAAAATCTATGGTAACATCTATATGATAAAATCTATTCGAACAGTAATTTGGAACTCACCAGTACTACCTCGAATCGATCAGTACTGTGTTTCACATTCTTAATTACATATTCTACGTGTTACGTCCGTTCGGTCTATATGAACTTCTCAAACGCCCTATCTATGTTTCCGCACCTCAGTCATACCCACTATTCAGACCTATTCTACTCTATTATGTTGTCATAACGGTAGTAATTGTTTTCATCTATCTCAATTTTCATTCTATTATCCTATAATTCCGATAGCGATTTTCTACCCGATCTTTTCTGCGTGGTTTTTTTTTTGTAAATCAGTTTACAATATATATGAAGATATCTTCATATCCTATTTGATCAAGAATGAGTTACCGAATTTCAACATGCTTTTCTTCAAACCACAGTTTTTTTATAGACTTTGCTTCTTGCTTTTTCAATCACTCACATTTTCTCGACTCCGTTTATTTTCTCCAAATGGACTCTCGAGTCTTCCTGTTTACTCTCATAGCTATTTTATAGAATTTTCTCTGCAGTTTCTCGATTATCTCGACCTTATACTTCTGCTCGAAATAACATCACTGTGATCATCACATTCTGTCTCCGTCTTATTTTTCTTCTATTCTCTCCATTACTCCTCATAATGCTTTGCGCGCCTTTTAAACCTTTTTTGCTACTTTTTCTGTTGGTCAGCACTATTTCTTGTGATAAACTAGAACCTTAGGTACTTGAATTCTCAAACTTCTTCTACCTTATTACCTTTAGATATCGATTTTTTTTATAAATAAAGAAACTAAATTTTTGGTTCATCTACTTCTATATCAATCTTAAGGGAGTTGGGTCCTGCGAGCAAAATTTCAAGAAACCTTCCAAGTTTATAATATAAGTAATTAAATACATAACGCACATGCTGTTAAAATTTGGAGACGATTTACCACGTCTAACCGAAAATAGTTGCAATTGAAAATAACATTTTTACACAGGCAGTATGGAAAAAGAGAGAGAAAACCGCGAAGTTTTACTATTTTTGTATTGATGAAATTTTAAGAATTTCACGAAAAACTAATATTACTTAGATTAATACATGTATAATTATCCTAAAAAATTCTGGAATTCCCTACCACATAGTTTTTGAGAAATCATTGATAAACTAGTAAAGTAAACAAATAAAGTCATACGTGAAAGTCATACAATGAAAAAGACAGCAGTAGCATAAACTATAGGTTGGGAAAGAACTACGTTATTGTATAAATCTGCAAAATTTTTTAACTTTGTATCGACATTAGGATGTTTCATTTTTAGGCGATGTTTTTTTTGGTCCTACCTGAAAATCTGATCTTATAGATAAAAAAAATTTAGGAAAATGGTTGACCCTGAAAGCCATCCCTGCAACTTCCCGCTAATTCCATATCTAAGCGCTTAAAATTGCACTTATGATGTTTTTGAGCTATTCGAGATAAAAAATATAATTTGTATGTTATTTTGAGCTCTCCAAGCTCAAAGAGTTAACTGTCCTAAACTATTGAGCTCTTCGAGCTCATTTTCCATTTTCTTAGCAGTACGGAAAAAAGTAAACTGTAATATTCACTCGGATTCCGGTTAGTTTTTATAGTTTCAAACAGTAAAGCGGACATCGGGGTGGCAAAAATGTAAATATTACAGAACTTAATGTAGAAAGTATAATAGCCACAATTTATAATTTAATATCCAAAATAAGTGATTAGTAGTTGTCACTATAGTAAATAACGATTCTTTCATCTTTAAAAATTACAGTTTCAAACAGTAAAAATTGCCATTTTAATATATAGTCCATATTATGAAGAGAAGGGGAACTCAGATGAAAGAGAAGGGGGTCTCACTCTGGCAGAATTTAACATTTCAAACAGTAAAAATTATACTTTTAAAATATACATTTTACCAGTCTAAGCAAGTCAATAATTACAGTTTGATTTTTAGCGTTGCGTTTAAAATTTACCATTTTACTTTGTAAGTATTGACGTTGCTTGTATTAGAAATTTACTAACTTTATTTTATGATTCATTACTTATTATAAATCGACTGTTATTTATTACAGTTTACTTTTTTCCGTGAGGAAACTAGAAAAAAAAGGCTGATAATAAATAGAAATTGAGATTCGTAAACACATCAATATATTTTTCATTATTACATAGTGAATAACACAATAAACCATTTCATTTTAGTTCAAAGTGAATAAACCGGTTGTAATATTATCGTCACTTATCACACAACAAAACATGCAATTTAAATTTATTATTCCATTGAAAAATTACTGGATTATTTTATAATCAATAGACAATACGTGCACTTTTGAACCCTTGAAATGAATTCGCACCATCAACAAATTATTTTCACGGTAACCAAAATCTTCGATTACGATTTCGCTTGTGTTTTTTGATAGTCTTTCGGAGCTTAGAGCGCTTAATTTTTGGTTCAACTCTTGACATCGTTTGCTTATGATCGGTTTTAGGATGAGTAAACATTTTTTCTATTATTACTTCCACACAAAAAATTAATAACGCTATGATCAAACTAACCCCGAAAATTTTGTAAGCAGGGATTAAATCGAATTCCGTTACTTCGTCTAATTGTTCAGAAGTTTCAATTCTTTCTATCTTTCTTATTTTCTTTATTCGATTAATATACATTTCTCTATCCAAATGATTTAAGAACCCGGATTCCAATACTTCTTGACTGATTTTATCAAGTTTCTTTTTCAGGGCCCAGTTCTTCCGGGTCCACGGTGCATAATATTTTGTAAAAACTAGATTTTTAGACATATACACGTTTGAAAATTTTTTCATGGTTTTTAATTGTAAAGAAGTTTTATAAATACAAGCGATTGTAGAATTTTCACTAACATTTTTGGCGCATCGAAATAGTTCAATATGACTACAAGAATGCAAGAATTTTTTATCATCTTCAGTAACCCAGATATTTTGGCTTAAGATATCCTGATATAATTCCCGATCGTAAAAGACATGATAACGATGATCGAACAAGTTTTGCAAAGTCTCAATACTGTAATGAGACGGTCCAGCTAAAAGAGCCGATATTTCATTCTGAATAGCTGAAGATGCCGAAAAAATAAAAAAAAGATGCTATGACAAACACAATCCGCATAGACAATTGACCGAGAGGCGTCATTATTCCCATATTAAAAATCAGACTAAAAACATCTAGAAGAGAAACACCGAATGCAAAGTAATTGTGTATTAGTATAGGAATAGCAACTGATAGTATAACAATGATCGAAAACAAAAATATTTCATAATTGTGTTCGCTGACAATTTGACCGGTTATTGCCAAGAAAGTCCGTTTTTGAGTTAATATTGAAAATTTAATTTCTCTATAATAAGACAGTATATCAGTATATTTGTAATTAGTATTCGCAACGTTCATATTTTGTTCGTTAATATCGTAATTGCCACTTGCTAATGTTTTCAAGTATCAAGAATAAGAAATTCACAGATGGTGGTTTTGAATTTGGAATAATTTTAAAATTTACTTTTTTAACATCAATCACATCATCACGAGTAGCATTGTGTATCTTAAGTATTACCGTTGTCTTAATTTTATGATCGCCTAGCGTTTTAGTTTTATCAAAGGTAATGTTGTGACAAACTCTCCGATCTGTAATTTATAATAAAATTTCGTTAGCAAAACGTTATGTACTAAATGATTTGTATGAATTCTATAATATTTACCATTATCGAAATATTGATAAAGTAGTGTTCCCTTCTCAGTAATTTCTTGACTAGTTGTTTCAGCGCTTCTCCATGGATATGGTGCGTAGTTGGTAAATGGGTTGTAATTGTAGATTATCAAATTGTCAGAATCAGATTCTCGACACAAATAAAAAGATGACAGTAAATCGAGCTTCCATAATAATTTGAGAACTTCATTAGCGTTTTCGCAAAAATTTTCTACGTCAACGATAAAAAAGTAAGATTCTACACTCCACGTTGTTGTTGATTTTAAATTATCGAACAGCGTCTTTAATTTTTTAATCGACCCAGAAACCAACAATACATATGTCGGGTATCTCGGACTGAAAACTTGGATTTCTTTAGATTCAAAATTGTTATCGAGAATAATTGTAGGTGGCTCTACGATTTCCCATGGAATCTTGTGAATTTTATCATACAACTCTTCAGTAATAACAACAGGATTGAGACGGTCAGAAAAACAAAATTCAAGAAGTCGTTTCTGTAAATTATAAGTTAGTGAAAAAATCAAACTAATTGGTGAATACTATTAAAGTACAAAAATAATCAATTACCACATGGCTGTAGAAATGGACGTCTGAATCAGTTTGAAGCGAACTGTAAGTTGTTATTTGGGAACACGACACTTTTATTAACATAGAAATCAATATAATCTCCTTTACTCTCATTTTCACAATCAACATAATCACATCGATTCACATTAACTGTTTTTTTTTTTTTTTAATTAAACAACTTATATTTTACATTGCATATGTCTTTAGACATTTGAAGATGGTATAACTACGTATAACGATAGATAAGTTAGTCTGTTCGCTTCTGGGTCTCCATCGCAACTGACCTAGTATTTGCTAGAACGACATAAAAAAATGTCCGTTTCTTCCATTATAATAACTAATTTTGCATTTTTAATTGTTACTTCAATCGATTGTAGTATATTGCAGCTTTTAAAGTAATGAATGCGTGTTTCCATACTCTGTTTTCATTTTCGTTGCGTGGAAACACTTGAACATCAATAAAAAAAAATGACCACTCAGGAGAAAAATATTAAAAAATAAAATAACAATACTTTTTCAGTGATAAAATAAAAACCGCAAATATATATTATTTGACCATTTCATAAAGTTTCTTACAGAATTACAGCATCCTTTACTATTAATTAGATCATTTTTCTTTGTACAAACTTTTTTAACCCATGAAACAAAAACCATTTTATTACAACTTATAAAAGTACGATTCAATTCATTGTGCTCTAGATTCTCGTAGAAGACAAAAACATGACTTTGAATACGACAATAGGAGAGATTATAAAATAATCATAAAAACTTTTCGCAAAAAGTTAAAAAAATCCAACGATTTAAACGCTCAGTGGAAGAAAAGTAAACATACAAACTTCTATTTTCTCCGGAAATTGAAAAAATTTAAGCTGTAGAATAGAAAAAACCAATATAGACTTTTTAAAATAATCCTAATAAGAAATAAGTAAATAGTGACGTAATTTGTTCGCGAAGTTTTTATACTTATTCTAAGCTGAGTATACATGGGCGTGATGAACTAACTTATAACACGTGTGACGTATTTTTAATGCTGAAATATTTCAGCATTGAAAAGTTTAAGGTAGTTCCTCTGCGACAGTCCAGGCAAAAAATTTTGGCTCACTATCCATGTTATACGTATCGACAGAACTACGGTTGTAGGTTTAAATTTTTTTAACGTTACTGTACTCTTCGACTACTATATTCTCTAAACATATACACACACTGACAGAAGGATTTGTTTATAATTAAAAATATTTGTTAATATTTAACAAATCATTATTAATAGACCACTTTTTAGTATTAAACAAATATTTCTTAGTATTTAAAATGATTTGTTTGTATTTAATAAATCTGATATTCATTTATTAAATATTAATAAATCTTTTTAAATACTAAGAAATATTTGTTAAGGACTAAAAAGTTCTCTAATAAAAGATTTGTTAAATATTAACAAATATTTTTAACTATAAACAAATCCTTTTATCAGTGTGTATCTATACATAGAGCATTTTCGAATTCAGCCTAAATACTTATCATTATAAATTGACTATTAAGGAATAGCAAGTGAGAAAGACAAAAATATCCTAAACTATACCTAAATTTACTCGCACTATATGTCGCGAGGATACTACCTTAAAATTAGATTTTGTCGGGGAGATTTTTTCCGGGGAGATTTTGTCGTGTCACCCTGAAATTTGAGCTAAATTAATTTATTAATCAATAATTATTATTATTATTATATCGTCTTGAATTTTTATAACTGTTTATTGAAAAACAAGAAAAAAAACAATAATTTAAAGATTTTTTAAAAATAATTTTTTATTATCTGAAACTTATTATTAGTCTCTATACTCTAGCAATTTATTTCGGAGACTTTGCTTTCTGGTTTGATCGTCTACCTTCTTCCAAGCTCGTTCTTTCCCAAAGGCAGCTGTGTATTCTGAAAATTAGATAATTCATTTCGTACAAATAAATATTATATTTTATAAAAAAAAATCTGGTGTTGAGGTCTCAATCTTTCATAAAATTTTATTTTGAAGTTATCATAATAAACCTTTCTCTTTTTGACTGTTTCCAGCTCAAACCTAATTATCTTAACGCAGAGTTTTTGGTATTTTTGACATTTTTGATGGGAAGTTTTGGAAAAATGAATATTTTTGACACGCATTATAATGACATTATAATGCGCAAATCATTATAATATTTTTCCATCTGGGATATGTAGTATGAATTTAATGACTTATATTCAAAGTTTCGAGGATTTCTTAAAATATTGCTTTCATAACCGTAGTACCTTAAGATCGCTTACAAAAAACGTCGTTAAAATAATCACAGGTCTTGATAGTAAGTAGCAAAAAGTAACTAAACCTCATGATGCATGTTCCTGTATCTGAGCACGACGAATCTCATTACAATGTTAAAGTGAAACGTTGCTTACGGCAGTTTATCATTATCGAGTCTAGTGCACTATGATAGCAATTCCTTGTTACTAAATGTCACTCGTACCAAGATGATATTCTGCTTCCAACCCAACCGAGAAATAGGGTATTAGATGTAATAGCCTGTTTTAAATCTCCTTTTTTTTTTTTTATTTATTTTATTCTTGCTTAAAATGAAGCTAAAAAAAATTCGTTTTTCAACAAATCAGACTCAAATTTCAATTTTTTTTCTATTTTTCAGATTCATTTCTTCGAAGATTTAATTACTGCTCTAGATTAATTGTGAATTGAGCTTTCAATGTGATACGCTTACATCTTTAGTGGAGACTACTAAAGGAAAAACTTTTACTACATAGTCTACCGCAGAATGTCCGCTGTCCACTGAAAAAATTCTCCACTTTATAATATGCGACATTATTAAATTTTTCGCTGCATAAAGAAATTTAGGATTAAAATTACTTTGCAATTTGAGTTAGCCAAAACCATTTAATTAAAAGAAGGAAATGACGTAACGAAATTAATAAAAACTATATTTTTTTTAGTATGTCATATACTTTTTAGTAAAAAGAAAAAAAATAAATACACAAATTTTTCACTATCAGTATCGACAAAAATTGCGAACTTTTTTTTATTATCAATGCATGCAAAAAAAATGGAAAATCTCAAATAACATGCCGCTAGCTCTCATGTTATAATAAAAAATAAATAAAAATTTTGAGATCTATTAAAAAAAAAAAAGATGTGTGGGTTTATATTCGTTGATATTTGTTTATTTTTAACAATTGAAGGGGTATTGTATTCTAGAGATACAAATTGTTGGTATTATTTTGAAGTGCAATAAAAAAAAAATTATTTCTACCATCCATTGTTTTATCGGATATTTATTGATCAATCAAAAATATACAAAATATTATTCAAAGTAACGAATAAAAAATTCAAAAAGTTGTAGGCTGGTTAAGTGGAGGTCTCAAAAAAAGTGTGCTCATGAGAGCGTAATTCTGACTCTTCTAGTCACTAATAAAAAGTTATGTGTGTATAGACAGTTAAGATGCCCCTCATCGTCTAAAGCGGAAAAAAGTAAAAAAAAAATTTCACAAAATGACGGAAATTAAAAAAAAAAGTCCTTTTTTACACTTACAGAATTTTTCAAAAATTCTAAGGACGATAAATAACATTCTTATAGGTTTGAACTTTCAAAATATAAAGAAGAAAAATAGATTTTTTTGGAATCCTCGGAACATTTCTTTAAACAATGATTATTATTCATTAGTAAAATAATAAAAAGTAAAATGAAAAAGTTAGGTAAAACCAAATATGCATGCCTTAAACGCTCATGTCATACTATGTTATTTAAATTTTTTTAATTTCCCGCGCATTATTTATGACGCGAATAAAACGCCCTCACGTGTTCCCTTATATCAACTACTTACAAGTCGATATGCTTACATACGTTGGCTCGATCGCAGAGTCACTGTGAGATCTCTGTTTACTAAAAAAATAAAACATATGGCCGACCAAAATGGGAAAATTCGATGTGAATGCCAGTCAAAATGTTTTTCTTCTCTCCGTGCGGAAAGCGTCAATTAACAGTATCCCAAGTGAAAAAATATTATAATGACGTTATAATGTCATTATAATGCGTGTCAAAAATATTTATTTTTCCAAAATTTCCCATAAAAAATCTAAAAAATACCAGAAACTCTGCTTTAAGATAATTAATTAGATTTAAGCTGGAAACAGTCATAGCGAGAGAGGTCAATTGATAACTTTAAAATGAAATTTTCTGAAGGATCAGGAACTCAGCACTAAGACGCTTTTTCCATAAGTTTTACTTAAACGATTAAATCAAAAGAGGTTTACTCAAATTTCGCAAAAAAACTGTACAACGGTTCGGGAACACTGCGCCAAAATATTTTTTCTTGACCTTGAAACGCTGAAGTTTGAGCTAAATTAATTTATTAATCAATAATTATTATTATATCGTCTTGAATTTTTATAACTGTTTATTGAAAAACAAGAAAAAGAACAATAATTTAAAGATTTTTTAAAAATAATTTTTTATTATCTGAAACTTATTATTAGTCTCTATACTCTAGCAATTTATTTCGGAGACTTTGCTTTCTGGTTTGATCGTCTACCTTCTTCCAAGCTCGTTCTTTCCCAAAGGCAGCTGTGTATTCTGAAAATTAGATAATTCATTTCGTACAAATAAATATTATATTTTATAAAAAAAAATCTGATGTTGAGGTCTCAATCTTTCATAAAATTTTATTTTGAAGTTATCATAATAAACCTTTCTCTTTTTGACTGTTTCCAGCTCAAACCTAATTATCTTAACGCAGAGTTTTTGGTATTTTTGACATTTTTGATGGGAAGTTTTGGAAAAATGAATATTTTTGACACGCATTATAATGACATTATAATGTGCAAATCATTATAATATTTTTTCCACCTGGGTTATTTCAAAGAAACGTTTAATAAATATAAAATTGACTGGAAGGCAGTAAGGAGAAATTAAAAGAAAAATTCGGCGTGGAAAAAAAAATTTGAGCTGGTTGCGGTAAACAAAAACCTATCCACATTCGATATCGATGAAATTTAATAAAGATAATCAACTAAATAAAAATGGACAGCAAGGTATCAAAAATTTCATGAATAAGTATTATGGAACAAGTGGTTCAATCGTAATCCACGTGATTACAAAGTTAATGGATATGAAATTGAAGAAATTGAAAAAGTTAATGGTGAAAATGACGATAAAATTATTACAGTAAAAAAAATGTAAGCTATATGGGTGGTGATCCGAGTAATAGTACAGCTTTTGCAGGATATGAAAATGATGGTACTGACTGTTCAAGGTACTACCTTCAAACAGAATGTTCTATTACATCTCGGAATATAAACGCAGTGAGATGAAAAGAGATTATTACGTGAGAACAAAAAAAGGAAAAAAAAAAAATAAAAGTGATAGTGATTATAAACCTCTCTTCAAAGTTTAATCTAAATCTATAGATTACACACAATACCGATTAAAATGCATGAATTTTATGCAAAAACCGTACGAATATCGTCCAATATTGAAACGTAGTAAACACGACAAATGATTTAAAACTGCAAAAGATTTGCATAGAGTTGTTAGAGAAATAATACTAACTGAATATGCATCACTAGCTTAAACATAGGAAAAAAAAGAAAAGAAAAGGAAAGAAAGTCAACGAGGAAAAAATGAAAAATGTCATGAGAGCCATAAAGCAAAGAAAAGTTAATTAAAAGATAAAAGTAAAGAATGTCAATGACCAAATGTTTTATCTGATAAAAGACGAGCTCGTAATAAAGCACGTAAAAATAAAAAGTGTTAAAAAAGTAAATAAAAAAAATTTAGAAACTAAGAGAGAATCATGCTTAAGAGCTACAGGATCATACCAAAGAAAAAGTCCAACCCCAGGAGAAAAAGAAGAAATAACTTCAATAACAAGAGAAGTTTTTAATGTTATTATACAATGCAAAAAAAAACAACGTAAAATTGTTAGTAGAAAAATCAGTTAAAAATGCATTTGGGAAAAACTAAAACCTGTAACTATAATTCATGGTACTGGGTACAAATTTATGGGGCGTGCTCATTTCTCTGGTCGTAAATTTAAACATCAAAAGTACAATACTTTACGAGCTTGTTCAAATTGTCTGGCCAATGGTAAATTTCAACGTTTAGAAGATAATCCTAAAAAAAGAGTAGTCATGTGTATACAAGAAGAGAATAAAGTAAAATGTCTATCAATCGAGACTTAAATTCGGCTAAAAAATGTATTTAATTAGTACAAATAAAGGAGTAAAATCATCAATTAGAAATAATCGGGAAGGACTAGTAGTCAATAATAAAAATAAGTCAAAACAAGTAGCAGCAGCAACAACAACAACAACAACAACAACGGGGACCAAAGCAAAGACAACAATCATGGAAAAAATATGAAAGGAAGAAGTTACCTCAGAATGTCAAGAAGAAATCAACAGAAAAGTAAATCAGTTGGTTATTGTTATCCACCAGAATGGTATTAATTACTACGAAACAATTCAATGACTCCCAAGCGTCACAAAAAAAAATGTTAACTTTTTGATAGATTTCACTCAACAAGAAGTTAAAAAATTAATAATCGTCAACTTAAATTCAACAAAATATTAACAAACAAAAATTTGTGCCGCTTGGGCTGTGTTGGTGACAATATCACACCAACTTATTTATTTTTATTGTTTTATGCAAATTAGCCACCGTCATTTCTTATGGAAGGGAGGCGCTGGAAGTGGTCGTAAACCGCGATGCCAACGACGTACTTACAGTGAATGTAAACTGTAATGGATTTAAATGACTAGATGTAAATAATAATTAACATTATTAATACTGTAATTAAAAATAATTTATTTATAATAGTAATCGTTACCATTATTAATAGTAACTATTACAATTGTCAATTATACCAACTATTAATTTGTGACTAATTAATTTTTTTCCGTGAGGGAGAGCAATACGGGATCGCTTTACACAAAAAAAAAAGGTTCACTTGAGCCAAGAAAATATTTTTTCTCCCCTCCGTGCGGAAAGCGTCAATTTTCTGCTCGCTGCGCTAAACGAAAATGCCGCTTTCCGCCTCCGTCGAGGAGAAAAATAGTATTCTCACCACGGGCAGGAAATAAGAAAGCCTCAGATCACATGTTTGTTGACCTCGGCTTCGCCTCGGTCAACAATTACATGTAATCTGAGACATTTCTTATTTTCCTGCCCTGGGTAAGAAAAATACTATTAATTACAACTAAATGAAGCAATTTCAAGCTTTGATATTGAATAGGGTTCTTCATTAAAGTTTAATGACAGGGCTGAAAAAAAAAATGAATCCTAAAATTGTATATGTTTTTAGTTTTCTTGACCACACCACACCACCATATTTCGGCACTTATTTCTACTAAAGTTTTAAAAAAGCGGGTTTTTTTCGCTAAAATTGATAATTAATTTACTAAACAGTGTTTTTAATTAGTTCAGTAATGATTCTTCTTGCCACTAGTGTATTTTTTTTAACATTTGCAAGTGAAAAATCCAAAATAGCATGCCGCTAGCGTTCATAAAAAATAAATAAGTACGGACAAATATTGACAAAAAATAAGCAAAAAAAGAAGTAACTCGAAATTCTAAGAGATATTGCAATGAGGGATTTATCAAATTCTAAAATCATAGGAAATTCCGATAATATGATAATGATAAGGCTACAAAGAACAAACCCAGTTATAATAAATTAAAAAATCCCACTATCAAAATTTGTATTTTTTTTTTTTAATATCTTAGATAACGTTTTTCAAAGTATTGTATAGTAAAAAAACAATTATACGATGATATCTCAAGTGGTTAGATAATAATAAAAGTTAATCAATCCAAGGATGTTCTCAGCCAAGAGTCGTATAAATATTCGATTGAATTTGGGAGTGAGATCAGTGTAAGACTGCCACCAAAGACTTTAAGATGCTCAATTATCCAGCACTAATTATCGGCTTGGCTGGCTTTGCATTAGGTAAGATTTTTTTTAGTACTAATTTTTAGTTTTCTAGTCACCAGTGAGAATATTTTAATTTATCATATTTTAAAGCCTTTTCTAATGAGGTTGCACAAAATTAAAAAAAATTTTTTTGATTGTCAAAAACTGAATTATGCTTTAATTTTTATTCCCACCATTGTAAAGAATAATTTTTTTTTTAATTTTTCCACAACAGTATATTCAATATCTATCGAACTAACAAGAACAACAAACACTCAATTTCCCAAACCTAATCCTCTCGCGAAGAGCCGTGAAGAGGAAAATTAAAAGTCTTTCATCCTTCCAGTAATAAGCGCTCATCCAAATTATCTACCTAGAGATTTATCGGATGGACGAATTGTTGGAGGAGAAGATATCGAGATCGAGGATGTGCCTTATCAAGTGAGCGTCCTGGTTCGAGGACGTCATAAATGCGGCGGGACTATAATATCGGACTACTGGGTTCTCACAGCGGCTCATTGTGCTCAATTTTCCCAACGAATGTATTCTGTTCGTGCTGGAACTGTGTGGAAGAACCAGGGCGGAACCATTTACGAAGTTGACAAAGTGGTTAATCACGAAAATTACCGACTAATATTCGATATTCCAATGGATGACATAGCGCTACTTCGATTAGCAACACCTTTTGTCTTTGGCGAAGCTTGCCAACCCATAGATTTGCCCAATAAGGGTGAAAAAGTTAAACCCGAAACTCAGACTGTCGTCACTGGATGGGGCGATACAAAGAGCTTCCCCTTTAATGGCCGACTTCAAATGGTCGTTATTCCCACAATTAGCATCGAAAGTTGTCGAGAAGCTTATAATTTTACAAAGATTCCAGACGAAGGAAGAATTTGCGCGATGACTCCAGACGGTGGTAAAGACGCTTGTCAAGGTGATTCTGGTGGTCCGATGGTGGTTGATAAACGGCTTGTAGGGATCGTATCTTGGGGCGTTGAATGCGCTGTTAAAGGAAATCCCGGAATTTATACGGAAGTTCAACACTACCGCGATTGGATAGAACTAATTACTGGATTTTAATTTTAGTTTTTTTTACAACTTGTAAAATATATTTTTATAATAAAAAAATTTTTTATAATTAACGTTTTATATACACTGAGAGAAAAAATTTATTTTGAAAAAATGGCTATTTTTATGGCAAGAAATTAATTTGTTGAAAATTTTAAACAATTTTATTTCTTAGCTGAAGAAATTAAGATTTTTCTCACAGTAACTTTATTTTTGAAAAAAAATTTTCTAGATTTGAAAAAAAAAAAAAATTTGGATAAAAATTCGTAAGTTGTCTATGTGAAATTTTTTTTTTCCAAATTGAAAAAACTTCTTTTCATATGTTTTCAGTATTTATATATATTTTAGTTTATTAATATCCATTAATAAATTTATTGAACTTTTGGTTAGATTACCTGCATGGAGTTGTAAATCTGTTTCTTTTTTTTTTTTTTATTCGATAAAAGAAAATATAAAAAGTTTAGAAAATCTAAGAGTGCACGCCTCATAACGGTCATTTATTTTTTACGAAAAAAATACAGCACTGACGGAAAATTTCCGGACAACCTTCTTGTTTACTTTTTAATTTAAATATGATACATAAACAAATTAACTTGATCTATAAAGAAAATGCTACTTTATTTTACAAAGTGTGTACGATCGTGTCATTGACTTTCTTTTTGATTTATTTTACTCTTAATAAATTTTCATCTTGTCCGGAAACTTTCTGTCGGTAGTGTAAATTGATACGGTAGTATAATTGATTTTTAAAAGAAAAAAAAACAATTAAGTAATTTCTTACAGAGTATTTTCTAATTTTTTTTTAAATTATTGGCACCCATTTTTCTTGTCATATGCGCACGCAGTGTAAAAAAATCTAGTAATTTCTTGATCTCATTTTAAATTAATTAAGTGGCGCCATAGTTTTTATGTGAAAGAAATAAGAAAAGTTCTTCTGTTTTTGTACGTGTGTCTTATACATGAAATACGGCATATGTTCTGGAATTAATAAAAAATTCCGGTCTCGATATATCAATTTGTTTAACGAAGATCAGGACGTCTACGTAAAATTTTTTTCGAAACATTTTTTTTTTTTTTTTTCTTCAAAGTAGCAACATAAAATGATTTTGAGAATTTATAAGATGGTTTAATTTAAGTGTACATCAACTCATATTATTGTATAAGTGCAATATGGTTGTGATAAAGGAATTTTAAGATCACAAAATTGCTTGACCGTGACGAATCGGAAGTAAAGCACTACCTAAACCGCTTCGCGTTATGAAGCATGCAATAAAGTTTAAAATGTTGCTTCGTAAATCTTATTTATCCAGAAAAATTTTAATGCGATAGATCCCGCAATTGTTGTTTACTTTTCTTCGCATAAAAATTTTTTTTTGCAATTAAACAGTGAAAAAAATTTTATTTCTTCAGCTCAGAAATAAAATTGTTTAAAATTTTCAACAAATTAATTTCTCATTACAACATTGCTAATTTTTATCAAAATAAATTTTTTCTCTCAATTTATATGTTATGTAAAAAATATTAATTTAGGGTAATTAATTAATTTTACATTTAAAATATTTAATCTGTTTAAGTATTTGGTCCTAGCGTGTTAGGCTAATAGACCGGGAACTTCCGAGTTTTAATTTATTGAGAAAGATAGGTTTGTTTAAATAAATTGATGTAGTTGAATAATTTTAATACATATATTTGATGAACCTTGTTGCTTTAATTTATTTTAGTTGGTTTCACTTTACGATTTTACTTTATCTTTACAAATGTTTTACTTTTTATGCAATAGATTTACACGTGGTCTATTGAGACTTATTTAAACTATGTACGATGTTAACACTAGGATGTCAGGACAACGAGAGAGATTTTTTTGGTGACAATTGCAAGGTGTCGAATTTTAGGGCGTTACTAATTTCCACTCATTGGGGTAAACAAATGTCTAATTATTAGTCTATTTTCTCGGGCCCTTACCCTCTCTCTTAAATTTGTCTAAAAATGTTGCATGAGTCCCCCTACTTGGGTCTGAGTGCAACATACTTTCTCACTTACTCTTATGTTCTATTATTCATCTATGTGTTTGTGTATACGTAAGCGCATTTACGCATAGACAAAGACATACATTTGTACTGTCTACATTAATTTATTTATTAAAATCGTATTAATAAATATGTACTTGAATCTAACATCTCTTACGTTTTCTTAGATTTAATTATTTATTTGTAGAAATATTTCTGTTTTTTCGTTTTATAAATTTGTTGTATTATTTTAGAATTTAATTGTTTAATATTTGTTTATTTTTAATTATTTAACTTTCAAGTTCTATTTTTTTTTATTTCTTTTTCATTTCATATTTAATTTTGTTGTCTAAAAATTATTTCGGAAAGTGCAATATTAAAATTTATTTCAATATTTTTCTCAACACTAAAATTCTGTCATTAAGTTATTCTAAAATCTTTCGGTTTAAAATAAATCTTTTATCTTATGTTCTTTATCATTACTTAAGTATTTCTTATTTTAAGTATAAGTGAGTTTGCTTACGTATAACAAAACTCCGATTTATCTATTTAATCTCTTTAAAATACATGGGCCCTCAGACTAATTACGAGAATTTCCCTGGGCCTTTTGCAAAAATCGAACGAGACACTTAATGACCGCACTCAAATTATCTTTAACAATCGTTAAAAACGAAATAAAATTATACTCTATTTTTATAGTTAATAAATATGTAAAGAAAAATTTCTTTACATAACATATATATCTGTGATTATTATTTTTTATACTGTTAAAAAGAACATTTTGTCTTAAGAAAAATAATCTTTTAAAGAAACTTATAAAGATAACCGATTGTTGGACTTTAACAATTTCTTATCATAGGTTTTGTCATCTTAGCTTAAGAGACCAACATCGATCGATAACTATTGTCACTTGATTCAAGAGTGAAATTACGAAGAAAATATTTTTGTTCTTGAATTGAGTAGTTTTTTTCAGTGAATTGAAATTTAAATTTTACCAAATATTTATTTTAATTTTATTTCATTTTAGAGTGTTTTCATTCCAAGGAATGTTTTTCAGTATAAGATATAACAAGACGAGTAAATTTATTATTCATAGAGTATCAGGTTATATGAAGATTACGACGAGCGGCAACAACAGCAGAAGCGGTAACGTTTGCATTGCAAAAAATATTGGAAAACTTCTAAACAATGGCAATTCAGTATTCTGAATGATAATTTTAATAAAATCATCTCTTATTCCATCTTTCGCTTGTTATCAAGATATCGATTGACATTACGAATGCATTTTTTTCATTATTTATAAGTAAATTTATCGGGTATACCGATCATATGAATAAATTATAAAGCATCGATACACAGTAAAAAATATTGTGTATTTGTGTCGAAAACGGTTTGTGTTAAAAATTGTAGTGTGTTAAAATAACACAAAGCTTGTGTCATTTTCTTTTGTAACATAAAAAATGTGTTATATACTCTTTATTAACATATTTTGTATGTTACTGGGCAATGAACACAAAGTTTGTGTCAAATTCGCCATTAATATAACATCAACTTTGTGTTGACAGCCCGTCGATTCTTCACTTTACGCAGCAAACATTTTCACGAAAATATAATAAATATTAAATAATAAAGACAATTAAATTTATATGACACTGAAGTTAGCAGACGTCTAAAAATTTTTAATTTTTTTTATTACATAAATTACAACTAAAAAGATATTTCTAAAAAATTGCACTTCTAGTTTTTAAAGTTTTTTAGATGTGACACTTTTTTTTTAATTGTTAAATTGAAATTTTTTCAATAAAAAATTTCTAAAAGTTTTAAAATGTCGGTTAACTTCATTTTCATAAATTTATAACTCTGGTGCTTCACTTTTAAAACCTATAAATTATTTTTTGATTTAATTATTAAAAATTTTTCACTTTTTTCCTTCCAATTATTTATAGTCGGTAATTGTTGATGTTTCGTTAAAATGTAAATGATAGAAAAAAAAACATTTTTAAATAAATATTATTTACTGCAGTTGAGGAAATAAAAAAAAATTATTTCATAGGTTATGTTATAGGCATCAAACAGTTGATGAAAATAAATAAATTTATTTAACATTTATTTTGTGTTAAGATTGACACTTTAGAAGTGTATGATTCTTTGCGCCCTCTTGTGGCGATATTTCAACATAATGCTAAACTGAAAAAAATTTTGTTTTTGTAATTTAAGACTTCATTTATCATCCCTAACAACTTTTATAAACATATCTTTCATAGCAAGCTCACCAGAAATTCCCAAAATAGCCTATTTTTTTAAGCCGACGAACTAGACTACACCCTTAAACCTCCAGCTTTTGTCTGAGACTTTTTCTCTTAACTTCATTAATTATTGAAAATTCACAAAATGATCAAGTTTTTTATTTTAATGGCGCTTAATTTTTATTTTTCTATCGAACTTTAGTAATTCATAACTTCTTACTTAATTAAAATTAAGAAACTGGACGGATTTTATACGAATAGAAAACTCGAAGCTAGAGCACTTTCGTCCGAAACTTTTTCTCTTAGCTCTAATAATTACCAAGGTAATAATTATTTAAAGTTCATCATTATCAAGCTGTTTTATTCATAATGGCGCCCAATTTCCAATTTCTGATCTAACTCAAACATTTCACAACTTCTCACCTAGTTGAAATTGCAAAACCAGTCAAAATTTATATGAAAGAGAATCCTCGTAGCTACAACTTTAGTCAGAACTTTTTTTTACTTCAATAAGTACTGAGGTAATGAGTATTCAATGCTTGAAATAAGGTATAAATTTCCAAACTTTTTCCTACAATTTCTACAACATTGCAGAAATAAATCGTCTCTATTTTATTGACGTATACAAATTGACTGAACCATGTTCTATGTCAGCACACTACGTTAGTTGAAATGACTTAAATTTCCCCCGAGTTCGAATAGAGATGGAACACAGTGGAAACCGCAACTAGCAAGCAATAATTATAAACATTATGACGATGACCAAATGTTGGTAATAATCTGTCTCAATATAGCTTTATCATTTGCCTACACTGTAATTGTCGCTAATGCTTGTGGCTTTAGTCGAGATGGGTAATGGTCCTTGGGCCCATTGCTTTGATGTCCAAGTTATGGATTTCAAGGTTCGTTAACTATATTCTGAAGCATCAGGATTGTAAATTTAACATTCCTGGAAATAATTTTCAGATTTTCACTGAGCAAATTTTGGATAGTTTTTGTGAGCATTATTAATTCAAATCAAATAGCTGTTTTGATTATTAATTTTATATTAGTAACAATTCAATGGTCGAATAAATTCATAGCTTTTACGAAATGTAGATATTTGAATGATACTAACAACAATAGAATGATCCATGCAAGTACGTTAAAAAGCACAACTTATCGATTTATCTCCACTGAAAGAAAAAATTACTTTTGAGAAAGAAAAGCACTCTTGTTACAAGAATTCAAATCATTGGAAATTTTCCTTTATCAGCTGATGAAATCATATTTTTCTTGTAGTATTTTTAGGTAGATTTCTTTATAAATCTATTTGTTGTAGCCGGTCTCATGTCGTAATTTTAAGAAAATATTGTTATATGTTTCATTTCATCGAGTAGGGTAGGGCGGGGCGGTGACACGACAAAATCTCCCCGGAAAAAATCTCTCCGACAAAATCTCCCTGACAAAATCTAATTTTAAAGAATTTTAAATAATAATATTATTATTTCTGACAGTTGTGATGGTATTTTTCGTGTAAATATACACAAAAAATCATGATAAAAGGGCACAACGAGATTTTGAAGCGTATTTTGTCGGGGAGATTTCGTGGTGGAACCAGGCGGGGTTAAGACGATATATCGGATTTAATCAAGTCATATACTGTTAGGTTCGTAATTTAGTCTACTTCAAAAGGTCTAGCAACACAAAAACGATCCGAGTCCAAATTTTCAAGTTATTCTCGGAAATACGCGAGCGCTCCAAATTGCTCAACGTGCCCCACTGAGGCTAGTTGTGCAATGGCTAAAATAGACGGAATGACTGTATAGAATAATATGAAAACAAAATAAAATTGTAATTAACAAGCAAATATTTCATTTATTATAATTCTACATACGTATAACAAAAATATTTAATCGTGACATGATTGATTAAAATAATGAAATGCAATCACAAGATATTTGCTTATCATGATTTTCAAGATAAGACTTTCTTACCAAAACAATTAACGAATGTCAGTAAATTAACATTGAAATTTTTGAGATATTCCTTTGTTCATCTTAAAATAACTTAAGTAATCAGCCATCCAAGTTATCACCGAAGATCGTTTTTCGATACAAATCAGATAGAAAATGAAAAATCCATACCCGTCAAAAGTCGTATAAATAGACGACGATTTCAGAGCAGCAACAGAAAGCAACCAACCGACTATACTGGTAGAAGGAAAATGTTCAAGTACCGACAAGTATTACTCATCGCAACTATCCTAGCCGTTGGAATGGGTAAGTGTTGGTTGCTTAAAATGTAAATTTAAATCTTGATCTAACATTAAATATATCTTTTCCAGTTAACGCAATTCACTGGTTTCCGATGATGAACCCTTTAACTCCTAACGGTCGGATTGTCGGTGGAGAGCCAATAGATATAAGAGAAGTACCTCATCAAGTATCTCTCCAAGCTTACGGCTTTGCTTTCTGCGGTGGTACGATAGTCGCCGAAGATTGGGTGCTTACTGCTGCTCATTGTGCAGTTTATTCAGCAAGCACAATTACGGTTCGTGCAGGAACAACAACAAAAGGCAGCGGAGGAACTATCCACACAGTATCCAAGGTAAGTTCTTTGTGCGAATGAAAATAAACTTTTATTGAATCGAATCATCATTTGCTTATTTTATTCCACCAGATCATCACCCACGAAGATTACACAACAAACCGTTACGGGATCCCAATAAATGACGTCGCACTGATCAAACTAGCTACGCCCTTCGAAGTCGACGAGTTCCGGCAACCAATCGACCTCTTTGAATTCAAAGAAGAAGCTATCGAGGGTATTCAATCGACGATCACTGGATGGGGTGCTACTGTTGAAGGTGGTTCTACACCCGACGTTTTGAACACCGTTGATGTTCCAATAATCAACAAATCAGAATGTCATGATGCCTACATTTCTTTCGGAGGACTTCCAGAAGGCCAAATCTGTGCAGCTTATCCAGAAGGTGGCAAAGACGCTTGCCAGGGTGACTCCGGTGGCCCACTGACTATTGACGGTCGGCTAGCTGGAATCGTTTCTTGGGGAAATGGATGTGCTCGTCCAGGATACCCTGGAGTTTACACTGAAGTCGCCAGTTTTCGCGATTGGATCGATATTAAAATATCTACGATGTAACTTGCTGGCTATTAAATGGACAGATTTTGGCTGTTGGTCTTTAATTTTTTATTCATTTTGTTAATAAAGCATTATTAGAAAAAAAAAATTGGTGCCATCATTTTTTTAAACTTGTTACTGATTATTTTTTAATTTCCTTGTTCGAAAACGGAATAAATAATTTTTAGCAGCTACACGTAAATTATTCATCTAAGTTTTATTAAACTTTCAACTATTTATGTTCAAGTTGAAGTTAGTTTAAAATTTTCCCGGGAATAGTTTTTATCTTAATGCGGTCGAGCGCCCCGCAGCGTTTCGACTAGTGAATTAAAAAAAGAACCAACTCAACAGCCGACCAGCTGGCTATATTACAAAGTTTAGCATCAGCTGTATTCAATCCTTAATAAGAAATAAAAAAAAAAAAAGTTAATATAGAGTCACGTAGGGTAACTGTGCACAGCAGGTAAGTGTGTACAACCCCTTGATTTATTAACGGGGAGAGGGAAGTTTGTGATATGTGTAGGCAAATTAAAGGTTTTTTTGCGGAAAATTATTTTTCGCAAGAAAAATCCATATGGTATCATTCGTTTACTTAAAAAAAATATTAAGAATCTGGTAGTGTGAAGGTAAAATTTGCTTTCATGGCAAAGATTGTAACACTGTAACTAAAGTAAATTAATTTTTTTTCAATCAAAAATGTATTTAAAATTTTTATTTAGCTTAATATTTAAAGTTATGTTATGTCTCAATGAATTTATGTAAATATTATTAAAATCAGTCTGCTTAGTTTACCCCACACGAGTGCGCACACTTACCCGCAGTACAAAGTAAGTGTGCGCATTTTGAATCGTTAAGGTTTTCGATTTTATTTTTTAATTTAATCATTACCTAAATTAATACTTTATCGGATGCATATTTTCATTTTCTTTTCATGCTCATCGTTTATTTTTGACACTAGTTTGAATCCTTAAGTGCGCACACTTGCCCTACATAACTCGATATTGCCGTATGGCTGATCAAAATACAGAAAAATGTATCTTATGAACAACCGAAATAAATTAATTTGAAATTATAATTGTTTTAAAATTTCGAAAATAATTCTTATTTAAAACTTTGAAAAAATCAAAAACATTTTTAATAAATAAAAATAATAATTTCTTTTTCTAATAGCGTAATATTTATATCATTTATGTGTATATTATTACCGTTACTATTTACCAAAGTTTATTAATCATTCAATCACATTTTGCAATTAAATAAACTGAATGAAATTTTTTATTAAGTACTTGTGTTGAGTTGAAGTATATCGCAGAAAATAATATTTTTAATATTTATTAAAAGAAAAATCCACGTACATACAAGTCTATAGAATAATAACAAATTAAAAATAAATCATTTTTGTTGGAAGTCTACAAAAGCTATATCGAAGAAATATTGAGACAATTTGGAATAGAAGACTCGTTTCAAACGTAATGTTAGAACAAGACGGGAGTTGCACAAACCACTTGGGAATAATTTATAACCTACAATTTCGCTAGTAAGGTCTTGGCCAACTAGACTCCTAGTAAATGACGATTGTCCGGTGATATACGAATCCATTTCGAAATATTATAGCTTTTTATTGAAATAAAAATAAATGATTTCAATACAAAGCTAAAAAATTCTACTAGTTAAATTAATAATTCTACTAACCGTTGGGTGCAATTTCTTAACAAACTAAAATCAATATGGCTGACAATTTACGAGGCAATTTTTAAGAACTTTTATCTACCTGGACTTTTTTATACTTTATTTTTTTTTCTAAATAAGATGTACGGAATGTCTCTCCATTTGACTCACGTATTTTGGTCCCTTGTGAAAATTCCTATCACGAAGACGTGGCTTTATCTAGAGTAGAGACTGGAACTCGGCCAACTGATGGGAGCGCCTTTTAGAACTTCCAGGCATTTTTGTAACTATTTCTGAATCTTAAATTTTATGAATTCTTTGTTTCATAAGATTGATGTAAAATCGTTGTTTGATTCAATATTTGCCTCGGGTTTATTAAGGTTATTCGGGCAGTACCCCGTAAGTCATAATAAAATCTAAATTTTTTTTTTATTAACATTAAAAATTTGAGTACGAAATAGTATATTACACCCCTTGGGAAGGAAAATAAGAAAAGCCTCAGATCACATGTAATTGTTGGCCGAGGCGAAGCCGAGGTCAACAAACATGTGATCTGAGGTTTTCTTTTTTACTTCCCAAGAGCTGTATAATATTTTTTTGTCCGAGGAAAGCGGAAAGCGGCAACTTTGTTTAGCGCAGTGGGACCAAAGTTGCCACTTTCCGCTCAGAGGGCAAAAAATTCATTATTATAATTTAACCGTTATCTATCATTATTATTAATTGAATAATTTAATTAACAAAAACAACAAATAGTCAACATTTGATTCAAGTATTTTTTTATAAAACGTAGACCTGGCAACATTGCGCTTAACAGCTGTTTATATTTATCTCGCTGTGTGGTGAGTTGAAAAACATAACCCATAAAAATACACAGGAATTATTAAAATTCAAAGTTGGCGCATTCTATTCTGTGCAACGTTGCCATACTGCACTGAATCATGTGGATTATTTATTTTTAAGTATGTTGGACTGATATTTCCGTGAATTTCTTCTTTTGCATTAAAATATCTTTAAAAAACTTCGTCAGAAAATTTTCATTTTATTTTTAACGTATTTTACGAAAATTGATTAATCGAATTAGAAGTTTTTTGTTTTTTAATCTTTATAAAAAGTAGTCATATAAATCGATATATGTACATCTCGCCAATATTCTTTATAGGCTACATGTTAAATTTCAATTTTTTAATAATTTATTTAAAGATATAACCCTTCGTCAGATCTATTCCAAAAAATTAATTTTGATGTATGTAATAGCGATTTATAACAAATAAAAAAATTAGCTTTTGATTTTACAAGTGCATTTATATCCGAACAACCTTAATAATGACTGCTGTCACTTTGAGATAAAAGAAGACTAATTTTGAATCAAATGTGTATGAAGATATGCCATCATAATACCGGTCCTCTCGAATCACTGAATAGAGATTTGAAATTGTAGGACATTACCCGGTCTTATTCATAACAAGAGAACATAGAGGAAATGGTCTGAGATAGGATGCACCAATACAAGTTGACGTTCCTGACAAGTCCCTTATCAGGGTACTTGAAGCAAAGCTATCAACATGACTGCTAAAGCGGATTTAATGAACAGATGTACATACTAAATTCTATATAGAAAATGGAAAAAGCAAAACGGGGTACTTACTTTGACAAAAAATTTTAATTGATTCAAGAAAAAAAAAGGACCGAGAATACTATTGTGAAGAACATAAATATCTTGAGTTGAGACAGAAAATTCTTGAACCACGAAAAATTTATATAAGGGTGTAGTTTAGTTGGTCACTTTCGAAAATTCGATTTTTTTTTACATTATTTAAATGTAGACTGCCGACAGAAAGTTTCTAGACAAGATGAAAATTTGTTAAAACAATTATTAAAAGTAAAATAAATCAAAAAGAAATACAAAGACACGATCGTACACACTTTGTAAAATAACATAGCATTTTCTTTATAGATCAAGTTAATGTGTTCATGTATCATATTTAAATTAAAAAGTAAACAAGAAGCTTGTCCGGAAACTTTCCGTCGATAGTGTATATGGGGCATTCCATGCCAAATCACCGAGGTTTCGGCCCGGCCCCCTTCGATTTCGCTGAAAATTTTTTATCATTTTCTACCCTACCAAAGACATTTTTCTGAATTTTTTAAGATTTTTTTACCTAACCCAAAAAAAGTTACGAATTTTTGAAAAAAAACGCTCTCACTTTCCGGCCGGAGGGCAGAAAAATTATTTTCTCTAAAATGGTATTCTTGGTTCAAGATTCTTTTCTCTTGGGTCGAGTTAACTTTTTTATACTAAGTGTAAGAATGAATGAACTTTTCTCAAACTTAATACGTTGAATACTTCTTTAGTTTGCTTCCGCTTACAGTAAAGAAGTTTTAATTTGCCAAAAAAGAAAAAAAAAAAAAAAAGTTAAAACCCATCAATAAAATACTAGCAACCTGCAGTTACTACATGACTGCCGAGAGTTACGAATTGTGATTAAAAAAACTTTATCTTTACGATTTTTCGATATTGTTAATCACAGTATATATAATACATCCTGGGTACTTCTAAAATAAATTGAAAATATGATATTGCTGTGATTGGATCAGTTATGTCAATAATTTAATGGAATGCGTTATGAAAAAACACCGTAGCATAAAAAATTGACTAACACCAGAAAAATATTTAATCGTGAGAAGACATTAATTCAAGGTCAAGATCTTTCTAATGTTACAACAAATTTAACTAAAAAATCCTAATTAAAATAAAAAAAAATGCCTGTCACAAAATTTGTCTTATTCTCTTAATTATTGAGATAATAAATTGACCTTGCCGAAAAAATATCAAAAACCATACGAAGACAAATTCCGGTTGCAAATTTTTTTATGGTACCAAATTCCCGTATAAAAACCCTTTGTATAATGAAGATATGCTCATAAAAAATTTTCTTCTTTTTCTCAATTATATGGATTAGTAATTTTGACATACTTATATAATAACATTCGAATGTACATAACAATTTAAATAAATAAACAAACTTTATCTAGTGCGAAATTCTATTGTTTATAAATATACTCCGAAAACTTGTCATAATAAATCAACGATTTTAAAATAGCATATGATAATTTTAAAAAACATCAATTCTGATCAAGACCTTTCCAACAATATTAAATGTAACTTTAAAAAAGCACCATTTCGCCACACCCAATATGGATTTTTTCAAAGCTAAGTTTTTTGAATTTTTGAGCAGTCAACTTCAAGCTATGATTAAAGAAATGAAAATGATTAAAAAATATAAAGTAAAAAATGTAACTTAAAACTCATCTTATTAGCATTTACGTAAAATTTACAAAAATGAGCTTACTCT